TTATACCTCAGTAATATAACAAGTTATGCTTCAGACCTGTGTAAATTGTGCTAGTGTTAGATCTAAAAAAAAAAAAAATGCTTTAAAGCAAGGTAAATCATAAAAGAATTAAAATTCCTGAGGTTGTAACTCAGATTTCATTGGTTTTCCAACAAAATACCATACAGTACCCTGTTAGAATTAGAGTTAATAGATGACTACACCAATATTTTAATTTACTTGCAGTAGAAGTTTTATAAGTGAATTTATTGCCATTTCTTAATCATTAAATGATTTACTAATGACAATACAATTGTCATCAATACATGATTTAATGATTAAGTAATTTAATATATAAACATCTAAGACAACACAAAACAGATTTGAATTCATAGTTCTTGTAAGCTGAGTATCTATTTTTTTTATGAATATTAAATAATTGTAATTTACTAATAATTCAAGTGATTTAGATATTCACATAACTTGATTATTGTCTCTCATTATTCTGTGCTTCCGATATTACTCATTCTGAGGGTCATCCATTTGGAGTACCAAAGGCCATAAATTGAAATATAAAACTTTAAATTGATTTAAGATGTGACGTTACATTTACAATATAAGAACTATTATTGGCAAGATATCAATTCTTGTCCTGCTCTCCCTTCTTGTTGGCAGAAGGCCATAGAAGTGAGTTTGATAGAAAAATAATCACGTGGACAAAACATTCATTTCCAGTGTCTGCCAGTATTTGGGTTTTTTCCAGTAAACATTAGCTGTATTAATAAAAATATAACCATTTTACTTTCTAGCCAATTCTAATGTATGTGAAGAATTTTTAAGTGACTTTTACATCAGAAATTAAAAATATAAAAAACATCATGACTAAAAATATTTTCAGTTTGTTTTCTGAAATTTCTTGAAACTATTTATTCTACTGGTATTTTTTATTTTATTTTATTTTTATGTTAATTCTTTACACAAAATGACTTTTACAAGAATGATATATCCTTTCTTTCCTTTTCATTAAAGCAGTTGAAATTAACAAAAAACAAAAAAAAAAGAAAATGGTTCTGAATTCACTTTTAAACTATAATGATGTTTAACTTTGTGTTTTAATAGTTATATTTAGCCTTGACTAATAATATATAAATGAGTTCTGACTAACAAGCATTGTTAGTCAGAACTCATTTATATTCATTCAGTGTTAGCAATGTTACTATATTCAACACTTCTTACTTCTTTAATTATATCAGTAGTGCATGATATTCTTGAATACACTGAATGGCATCCTTTATTAACAATATCATTAATAAAGAATGAAGAATTAATAAAGAATAATCATTAATAAAGAATAAAAATAAAATAACAATATTATTAAATAACACTGAATGGCATACTTTATGTTGAAAATGCTTAATCAATGGTCATTGAATTATTAAATTATTTCAATTAGAACTACAGTATATATTTGTTAGGGTGATAAAATGTAATTTCAGTTGACTTTTTTCTTTTGTTTTATCATATATTCTATTTGAAGTTATCACATTGCTTTAATAAATTATATATGTGATTATAGTGTTCATAATGAAGAGCAGTGCAATTATATGTGTACTCTTTATATAATTTATGGCACAAAAGTTCAAAAAAAGAAAGAAAAATAATTTTGAAAATATTACTTTAGATACAGATGTAAGAAATAAAGTGATGTATACATATATGTGTATTTAAAAATGCAAAAATAATGACATGAGTTCTTTGTATATACACACACAAAATAAATGAAAAAAATTTTTTTATTAACATAGGAGAGGGAAGGGAGAGGAAAGAAGAAAAAATATTTATTTCAAAATGCCCTTCAATAATGATTATGAAGTATTTCAGAGAGAACACTTATTTGTAATCTAATTTTTGTTTTCATTTGAAAAAGTTCTTGTCCAGCAGTTATATTTCTTAGTCTCTTTTAACTTTAATGCCCAAGATAAAAATTTGAAGACTATTTTTTAATTTCCTTGCCAGATTGAACTTTATTCTCTTCACATCCTTATTCTCATTTCTTTTTTCTAGAAAGCCATAAAGTGATCTTCTCTCTCTTAGCTTTACATAATCTTCATTCACTTTTATCTGGATAAAACAAAGAGATCTTAATAATGACATACATTGTATGTTCAATCTTCTACATAACTCAAGCTTGTAGAGTGAAGACAATATAACCAACCAATGCAGAATGCCAACATGAAAACAAACAACAATGGGGGGAAAAAACTGTGAAAGAAAATACCATAGAGTATTACCAAGACATTACACATACTTCTCTGACATTACATTCTGTTCTTATCTGTCATTCTCCTACTCAAGTTTAGTACCTATTATTTTCTGTAAATTATTCTTTATTAGGATGCAGAATTCTTAACTTAACTTTAATCAAGTTTGCTTATTCTTCCTCTGCAATAAACTGTATTAGTCTTGTTTTCTTGTTTTTTCCTTAGGTTTACTTTTAAATATGAATTTTATATTATTTTCTTCATTGAATATCCAAGGAATTTTAATTAGAATTTTTTAATGAACATTCTTAGCATCATTTTAAATTCTATATGTGTCAAAATGCTGACTGTATAAATTATAAATATATACAAAGATTGGTTGTATGTGTTTTTATGCATGTATCAACTTTATCTTCTGCTATTTAATTCCTATCATTCCATCCATATAAATTATATTTCCTAATTTTTTTTCCAAATTATTTAGCATTGTTTAATAACACTGCATGATGTATACAGTACACTAAGTATAATTTAAATTACTGTATTATATTATTAATTAATTAATATATCCCTGCATATCATACTGTCCAGAGTTCTGGCAATAGTTATTGTTTAAAAAATGATTTAGATTAGTTGAATAACAGATTAGTTAAACTGCATTTGGAAAACTTAAGAGAAATGGAAAACTAATAAAATTCATTATATTTTTACAAGTCAAAGAATTTATTGATACAAAATTACAAAAAAGACTAATAGAAAAAACATTTTGAAATCAGCAAAATCAGCAGTAATGGAGTCAATCTTCATTTATAGGCTCTTTGCCACCTAATTTGCATATATGTAGGCAGAGAAGAACCTTTAAAGAAAAGTGTTACTAGCTTCTTGGAGCTGAGTCAGAGCTTAACCAACTTTGCTAATGTTGATTATACTCTGATGGTTAGAAGAAATATCTAGATGACTTCAAAATGTTTTCCATATTAGTATTTTTTGTAATTTTACAAGATATTTCTGTCATATTTTTTAGAACTTTTATTTTTGTAAAATTTGTTAATGGTTCAGATACTTTTGGATCTATCTATTTCATCTTAACATCCTGTTACAAAATTAGAATGACTGTAAAGTTCTAAAGAATACAGAATTTAAAAATATAACAATAAACATTTAGAACAATTTTTTCCAAAATAACTGTCCTAAAACATGTATCATTCTTCATTATTAAGTAAAAATATATCAAAATTTCCTAGTATAAAATTTGTATATTTTTTTATTGATTAATTAATTACCTCAATGAATGTCTCATTACTTTATCAAACAACACAGTGCATAGTTCATACATTTTCAAAATTAAATGTATACTTACAAATCATTACTTATCAGACTATGATAATGATATCTTCTAAGATTGATATGTAGAAGACAAAAGTTTGTTCAAACCAAAGTTTTATAGAGGAGAAAACATTAAGAGTTACAAAGAGAACAGACATTCAAACTATTGTTCTAAAGCATTCTTTACAAGGAGTAAGAATTTGAGTAACTGATAAAGGCTCAAGAGAGCTGAAAAGATTTTTGCTAATTAAATAAGTTTGGTTACCTTAAAGAAGCAATCTTTGGTCTCTTTCATACCTAATGGTGTGGAGTTTTGTAGAATTTAATTAAATTCTACAAAAGTTTATTTTATTTATTTTTTATTTAAAATGAATAAATGACCTCTACAAGTTTTAACTTGATAAATATCATTAATTACTGGAACTGGAACAATTTAAGTGATAAGTAAGTGAACTTTAGACTTTCAGCAAAAATTTAACATTTACTGCAAATGTTTTTGACTTTGTTTTAACATTATAGTATTGGTAGTTACAGTATTTGATTGGAACCTGAGGAAGACCCTTCAACTAGGTTGAAAATATTTGTGGCAAGTGTTGAATTTTTTGTGGAAAACGAAGGTGCATTTATTTGCTACCTAATAAATATTAGGAGGGAAATAGAAGGCAAAGGCAATTTAAAAACACATTGATAAAAGCCAAAACCAAATGCAAGTTAGTGATAATATATAATTGTAATTGTTTACATATTGAAATTTTTTAATAACTATAAAAACTATTTGACATTGGTTTTGTTACAATTTAGATATTTTTCTATACTGTATTTTTTATATTTTCACTAGACATTTGAATTTGACACCACAAATATATCTCATTATATAAACTTTACACAACAGATTGTCTCTTTTTATTTCTGAGACTGAATTGTTTTGCTTTGCCTGACTGTTCTTGGACTATTTTATATAAATTGACAGATAAGATATTATAGAAAAGTAATTCTATTAAACTATGCATGTGCAGAAATATGTTAGAAATGCATTTTCCATAGAAAAATTGTGTTACAATTGAAAGTTATTTTCATAGCAATGCTTCTCTGGAATCTATCTAATAAACATTGCTATGGAGGAATGCTGAATACTCAATAAAACGTAATCTTTGTATATGTATCATCTTGACATGTAAAGGTGCTGGATTTGTTTTTTATTCCATTAATCTAATTGTTTAAAATTTATATTATATAAATTTAATCTGATTAATTATAGCTATAAAACTACATTCATCAAACTTCTCATATGCAGTGATAGCATTAATGTTGTTATCCCAAAATATATTGAATAATTTTGATTATAAGTATCAGAATTGTTTATTAAGTATTATCTAAATAGTAGAAACAATATATTATCTTTAATGGTAGTAAAATGGATTGTTTTTGTTACAGAACGCTTGCATAAATTTATCTTGGAGAGATGTGCAAATTCCACTCGTGTACCCCTATGTATAAATCCCCACTCAGCAGCATTCAAAAGTTTTGCCACGTAAGTATTTAACTTTTTGAATGATGTTAGACAATGTGTATTCTTCACATTTGAATTTATTTTACATCAGTTATTATATACAACTTTACATATACATATCTTCTATTGCTGGATAGTGTGATATGTATATTAAAGCATTGAATGCCATATAATTACAAGTAATTCAGTCCTGTAATGTAATACAGTTTGCTGTAATATGCATATTTTTATTGTTAAATTAAAAATTAAATTTTTTATTTAAAATAAATAAACAGGTCATTAGTATACCACATATCTACCTTCCACTATATTCACTTTGTCTGTGACAGATTATGTCATAGTAATATCCCTTTGGGAATTTCAACTATGCAGTGAGTTTCCTTCTACTTTAAGGAAGATCAATTCAATTTTTATTTTCCATTTCTCTCTATCTGTAGTATCCTCTTCTCTTAAATTCCTTTCCTTTGCATTTCTTCCTATTCGATTCCATCAGTCCAAGTTTTCTTTGTTCTAATCATTTTTCTTTTCTTAATAATTCCTAGTCCATTACAGTTCAGGTATTTGGATCCTCGTGCATTCTCTTGATATATTCATACCACTTGAAACTCCTTTTCCCCTATTCTCTGGATTATATTTCTCTCTGCCTTCATCACCTGTCTTATCATCTCATTTCTAGTCCGTTCCATTCTAGATTTTGAAGTTTTTCTCAGAATTGTTCAATGATAAAACTAATTCCAGCAAAATGAAAAATAGAATAAAACATTAATTTTTTTATGTAATGTATTACTTTAACCCCTACATTAATTATGTTTAAGATGTAATTATATTGTTCTTAGCATTTTAAATGTTTAAATTAACTATTGCACTATCAAATATAATTTTTAATATAAATACATGATTTTATTTTCATTTTAAGCAAGTCTTGTTTATTATTATTTGATGTTACATAAAATAAATCAGAAAGTAAAGTTATAAAAGTCTATATTTCATAATAAATGCTCATAATCAGTAGTTATTTTGAGGCATTGAATGTAAAAAATGAAACTTGCACCAATAAAGTATTTTTTTTAACATAATCACCAAAAATGTTTAAATATTTCTTCAGTATTTATGATGGGTTATTCATTCTTTTCATTTAAAATTCCAGTTCCTGCTGACGTAACTACTCCTTGAAAGTCGTTTTTGTTTTTTCAACCGGTGTGAAACGATATCCAGCCAAGCGGTCTTTCGACAATGGAAAAAGGAGAAAATTGTTAAGATCAAAATCTGGATAGGGAAAATGTTTGAAAATTTTTCATTCAAACTGCTATAGTGAGTCCATTGTAGCACATATGGCTATGAATTTTTTTGAAGGAAATAATTCTTCGGCGAAGAAATATCACATGCAAATACTATTGCTATATATCAGCGAGCACTCAAAGTATCTACTGCTAAACTTCTTTATTTGCAAAAATTTGAACAATTGGAATTCTTTGTGGCATTCAGCATAACTTAGCTGTTACACTGAATTATCACTTCACAACTTGATGTATTTAAGGGCTATGCTGTAATGCATTCTAAGTACAATGCTATAAATATGTATATACTACTACTGCACTTCCTGCAGGTATAATTATTGAACAATCAACTTTATATCTTTACTTTCTGATCTATCTTGCTATATAAATGTTCACAGAAACATACAATTAAATTTAATTAACAGGATTTTAATTTTACTTTATTCAATTTCAGTTCAACTGTTGCTCATCCATCAGAACTGCCACCTTCTCCACATCAATGGGAATGAAATTAGTCTGAACAATACACTTTTGCCAAATAAATGCTCTAGCAGTCAAATGAGTGTTTGCTATGCAACATCTTTGTTTTTAGTCTAAGAGGTCTCATTTAGAATTGTCTCCAGACCTCTTAATTTATTTCTACATTTCTACTGACTCTTCCTTTAATTTTTTTTGCATGTTTTTTTAATTATTATTTAATTTAAATGGTGGTCAAATTGAAAGCAGCTACATCATACTGCTGTTACAGAATTTGTACCGTCGACAGCATGCAGCTGATATTCCACCCAAGACTGTTTCTTATGTGTTACTAATAGTCCATGTTTTCAAGAATGTTAGATTATGTCGCATTTTGCAGTTTATGGAGGAGCGCTGACATCTTTTTGGATCTGTTGGAATGCAGAATGTTACACTCTTGCATCGGTATCACTGACTATAACCGCAATTGCATTTGTTGCGGAAGACCCAGCAAAGAAGAAACTCGAATGCCACCAGTTATGTAAAATGACAGTTTTAAAGCTCCCAAAATGCAGAAACTGCCAAAAATTTCAGAGATATTTGACTGACAATTTGTGAAAGTTAAGTGTGATATGGAATCTCCAAGTATTTAACTATTTGTGATCTTAGGAAGATATTCGACATATTGCCATACGTTGTTTTTTTGACATTTGGATTGTGTCGCTATAACTACATTGTATTGTTTGGTATAGGTATCGATGCAAAATTTAATCTGTGGATGCACAATGTATCAATGTTAGAGTAAAGCACGGAGACAAAGAATATATAAAAGGAAAACGTAACGTGGTTGGAAAAATTGGCTGCGTTACATATCTCTACAATAAGGAATAGGGAATTTGGTTAAATTAGATAGTTTTTTTTGTGTTGTTGCTCACATCATCACAATTTTCATCATTGTAATTCATAATGCATATTTGTATATACTCATCCACTTGTGACTAATTTCTCTGCAGCAGGGATACACTCGCCACACTTTATATTATCAGTGTGGCTGTATTGTCCTTTTATGGATATATATCTCGTTTTTTTTTTTTTCCTTTTCATTAGCAGGAGTGTCAAATGAACCACTCAAACGACACTCGCCTGTTTCGTATTGAAAAATTAAATCATACATTGTATGAATTTTGTTCAGAATGGGAAATTTATTTTATTCCTGTTGTTTAATGGAAAAGCTAATTTAATCCAAACGAATATTTGCAAAGCCGCCAATGAAAGATTAACCAAATGCAACAGGAATTATATTCAATAGATTTTAAAATATTAATAATAACCAGTAATTAAAATTTATTTCAATTTATTTATGATTATGTGTGTGTGTATGTGTGTATATATGTGTATATATATATATTATATAGGGTATATATATATATTCATATATTCCTTTGTATGTTTATGTTGCTCTATTTTATTAGTTCGCATCGAATGCAATCAGAAATTATGATTTTAATCACGTTACTGCATTCCAGATTTGCATACTGAAAACTTTTTTAAAATATTTAAATTATTAAGTCCCTTTATTAATCAGTTCTCATTTACTTTCATTTGGATCTCATTGAAAATTCAAAATTGCTAACGTTAATGCAGGTCTGATTAGATCTTTTCTGTTGTGGGCATTTGTCGCTGTGATTCCATTGTGCACATTAATCTAGTGATTTTTTTTAATGGTCAGTACATCGAAAAGCATCCTATTTATACAGTATTTGTTTTAAAATGCAGTATATTTAGCAATGTATTAGTGCGTTGAGTTTTTTCCAAACGAAAACCTTAAGCAAAACCTGATTACTATCTCGAAAATTCCAGTTTGATAAAATGAGCTTTTCAGTTATTGCCTTATCACTGTGACGTAACGATTGTGATCAGGTTTGGACACATTGTGTTTTTATTCTCGATGCCACACTTGCTTTGGGAGAATGCCTCACTTTAGCTTTCATCAAAATTATATTTTAAGTAAATATTGAATTGTGTATCCATTAAACTACTGACCCAAAGCATTCCATTTACAGTTTATCAAAATATTAAGGTGTATTTTATTCCGTGATTCGTACAAGTCGAGCAGACATAAGGTAATAGTTTAAGTCAGTATGCCATTATTATTATCAATAACTAATATAAAACAAGGGCCGGCATAAGTGAAGCGCCAAATTAATGTAGTTTTCCTAATAACACTGCAATAGCTTGGTTAATTGTACTTATTTATTAAATCTAAAACTAAAAAGCAAAAAAATGATTAATGCAATTGTATGTATCAATCATATTATTCTAGTGATTTAGTTTTCTTCATATTTCAACTGTACATTTCTAATCTAAGAAACAATTTCTGTGAGTGTTGAGTATTGGCTATGGGATTGGGTTCTCGTGAGAATATATATCAGTATTTGTGCATTCCCATTCTCGGTCCATTTGTTGTGATAATTGTAGTTATCTCTTGCCTAGATAGGCATTTGTGAATACCTCATGTAAGGCATAAGAAAAATAAGAATTATATGGTGTAGCTAATTGGAACTATCAAATATTTACGTGCTGTTGGCAAAGATCAACTTCTAAAGTCTCGAATATATCCACTCTTTGATTCCATTAATGTATTTGTTCTTTAATAGATTTATTGACTTGAAAAATTTTTGGGGATTTAGGTCTATAATCACTTCTTGCCACGGCATATTTAGGCTATAATAATAATATCCATCGTGCACTCGTGTAGAATAGTTCTTTGTTCCGAATTTCATTCGTTTCCACCGTGGGTACGTAGCGAGTTCCACCGTATTAGTCGGTGCCGAGCGGAATAGACTGCCGCTAATTACGAAAAGTTACCACAGTTGTTGTAGAAATTGAGATGGAAAAAAATATCAATACTTAATACAAATCAGATTGTACAGGTTACTTGATTTATTATTGTTAGGTGAAAATCAGCTTAAAACTTCCTATAGAAAAAAAAACAAACTCTTTGCTTGTGAGATTGAAACTCACTGAACAAAATCCAAGTGCTGATGTATGCACAAACAGTATTTTCCAGTGGTTCTTTTCACATTTGAAAGGAAATAACTGCAGATATTCCTTGCTGTAAATAGTAGACATTTATCTGTATGCTTAATACCTGCAGTTTTCCATGTTGTTAACGTGTAGTGATTGGCACAATTTGTTGTGGCATTTTTTGTCACAAAATAAAAATTCCTTCCAATGTAACACTGCCATTCACTGGTCTGCGATTGGTGACATCATGATCTCACCCCTATCACTAAATCGGTATTCACTCTTGTACAGTATGTAATGCCAGCATTTGTTTTAAACCGTTTTCATTTAACGTTCATTTCATTAAACCGTTCGTTGAGGATCTTTTCAAAAACTAAACGCTCGAAAGCGAAAGAACGCTCGGAAAGCACAAAGCTCAAGAAATTCCGGCCTTTTCGGTTTAAATTAACAGTTTTACGAAGACGTAATTAACGTTCCTGAAAATTAAAGCACCACGGATTGGTGCGCTGTAAAGAAAACACACACAAAAGAAACAAATGCTGGCAAATATTAATTTAGAAAAGTTATACCTACTGTATGCAATGTTCATTTGTTAGTAGGTAAGATTTTTTCATTGGAAGGGGACCTATCTGTACAGTACCTGGCAATACATTTATGTATTACCACATACAGTTGCCTTCTGTAACCAATGTGCCCTTTCTAGAAATTCTCTGGTGTTTTAGTAGATTAGATTGGTGTTGGAAGTATGAAGGTGCAGGTTTGCCAATATTAGTAGAATGGAAAGAGAAAATAAAAAAACTTTAACTGCGCATCCAAGATCAGTTTTTGGAAGTGCAGATAACATTTGTGTATAAAATAATAATAATAATAAAAAAATGAACAAATAATGGATTTACTGTTAAGGTGTGCCTTTATGTCAGATCATAAAAAGTTGATAGCCTTAAATGTTGAAAAAAAAGAAAAAAAAGAAAAAATAGCAAACAAGCGATTTGTTTGGAATTGCATTGCATTGTTTTACTTTGTTTTCCATATGCTTTTTGTATCCAAAAATCTAGTAACCACTTTGAAAAGACTACTTTTGTGCGTCTGTGCCTTTACTTTGTGAAAGTCTCAAAAGGTAGCTTTTTAGATAAATGTTGTGCTAGGTTGTGCTCTTTAAACCACCAACTTTTGTCAATGTATTTTTATGGATAGTAAGAAGAGTTACGAGTAATTAAAAAAAGACACCCTTCGTATCACTTCTGCTACCAGACGTAGCACTGTATGGCAATTTTGTAACGTACACTCACATCCAAGTGTGTAGTTTTAGTTGTGTGTGAGACGGTGCACCTTTGACATTTTTAAGCCAGTTTTGTTGTCGAGAAAAATTTTATTAGAGTAAGCGTCGACGGATACCTAAGCATTATATAGTTTTACCAGAGAATTGTTACCCGTCACATTAGGGAATCTACGTTTACCGATTAAAGCATCCGATCTTCGATTTTTCATATCCCTTAAGGCATTATGTAACGCATTGTTTACTTTGTAAGTTGGCACGTGGCGATGCTTTAATTAGTAATTCGAAGTTTGGCCGAAGTAATTTAATGACGATCGTAACATCATTAACTACTTCGGTCTCGTACTGTTACACTTCAGTCTTTGGACAGTGTAATCGGTAGCTTTCCCTTCCAGTGACTGGTTGTAGATGTGGATTGTCATTTTTACACAGATTTGCAATAAAAAAAATACCATGTAAATCACACTTTGTCCGTTTAATGTTTCCGTTACTTTACGCAATTAGCAGAAAATTGCCATTTTCAAATTTACTGCTACAGACAGACAGCCGAAGCATTCGTTTAAAATCTTAAAGTTTTTATGCGCGAGAGTCAAAAGAGAGAGAATTTCTCAACAAGTTAGTGTGGAGGACGATAATTAGGAAAATGTAAAAACAATTAAACTTTATTCGGAGGCTGGAGGAGACCGAGTCGGTAAATGCGTAGAAACTTACGACCAGTTTGTAGACGACTCTTTTTTCCGCGAAGATTTACACTTAAAAAGAGTCAAAATAATAATTATTCGAGGTACGTCTACTGGTAAATATATGATTAAAATCTGGAAGACGGTCATCTTCGGTTTGTTTTATTAAATCGTTACGTACGAGCCCCTTATTTTAGCGACTCGAAAGCACCTCTTCAAACAATCTTGATTAAAATTGAACTAACACACACTCATTCTTAAAGTGGAATTCGAACCATATAGGTAGAAACAATGCCTTAATACTTTAGTCTGCCAGATCGGACGAATTTAAAACTAAATTTTAATCACATTACAGGCCTATTTTTACAAATTGGTCGCTAAAAAATTATCGTAACTTCCCGTAGATTCGATGCCATTCTGTCGTCGAATACTTTGAATACTTAAATGGCATTTCGTACCATAATTAGAAAAGCATTATATATGCCAATAAGGTTAAAAAATAAAGGTAAAGCGTACGAAGACATTATATGGGATCTCCGGTGAAATATGCAACAGGCGCTTCTCGAAAAGTAAGGAAGAATATTCATTTTTTCTCCTCACTAAAATGACTCGAATTTGTTCCTCTTTAAACTGGATTTTTGCGTAGGCTAAGCGTATTTTCAATTATTAAGATAATGTAAAGAGAAATCGATTCGAGAGCATATTTTACCAAGAATATAGTTTAATTTGGCGTAAAGAAGCTATTTATTAATACATAATGGAATCGATGTATTGTACTAACAGCCGGGCCTGCTTATCGGTTTGGAAGTCAAATTAAAACAGTAAAAGGATTTATAATTTGTCGCGTTTAAATGTGAAAATGGCTTCTTTTAATAAACGTTTCTTTTATTTATTGACTTTCCCGGCTGATATATGCCTGTATAACGGAAAGGATGGCGATGGGTCAAAAAATAAGCATTTTTATATCTTTGTACCTGTGGGGGCGCATTTTGTTCCCACGCTTTAAAGCTTAATAACTGCCGCGCCTTTCGTCGAAAATATCTGACATTTTACACGGAGGTTTGTGTATAAGGGATATCGATTCCTTTAAATTTTGGTGGTTAAAGGTTGGGGGATGGGAAGATAGCGGGCTGTGACGTGTCGTATCTCGAGAGAGGCCGGACTTACGGAAGATTTTACTCGTTGACATTTACAATTTTTATTCTTTTTATATACAGTCGACCCCCTATAACACGGTAGATACGTTCCTGTTTTTATGAATCCAGCTTCTAGGAGTCCAGCCAATCACAGCCCGGCACGTATGCAGTTTACGGACTACGGCTTTTTGAAAGGTTTCTTCCATAAATTTAATCGATTCTAGACTAATTCCACTCAACATTACCAAAATACGTATAATTTTTTGGGAATAATCCGTATAAACTACGCTGTAAACAAAAAATTGTAGGATTACTTACCGAGTGTGCACCATTCGATTACGCCGTCGCTTAAGCTTGTTTTCGTCGTGGCGATTGTCATCGAATGGCGCTCGCGTGCTTCCCGATAAATTATTTTTTTGCGAAAAATTCGCTGAGCTTTGGAGACATGATTAATATAAATATAATTTTTAGGACGTTAAATAATAAATGGTTTTTAGGAGGTCCGCCGCTCGTTTAAACTCAACGGTTTGTGCAATCTGTCGCGACACGAGTCGGCGATGACGTTTTACCGAATTATAGGAGAGTTTTAGCATGTTTGTACGAATACTGTCGCAATTTTTTCGCCGTGATATAGGAATCCGAACTATAGGAACCCGTGTTATAGGGGGTCGACTGTAATATAAAACGCGTCTCTACCCTCAAAATTAAACATTGTCATTTTGTAATAATAATATAAGTTTTTGCCGGGAACGTTATGCAACTCGTTCCCGGATTTTTACCTTATAATTTTACAAATCAATATAATCGACACCGATACATAATTTAACAGCGCGCCTCGAGTTACATTCTTTCGGAAATTACTTTTATAGAATAGATGTATTAGTTATAAAGGTGAGACGGTGAATACTGTATCAATGCCCTTTTCACATCGGTAATTGATGGCAACGCCCAAAGTCGTTAACGTAACATACACATTTATGTTTTCGATAGCAACACAAATTTCTAAGAAATTTCGACGAAAGAAAGCAAAGGAAATTTTTGGGCTGCAACTTGAAAAAATTGTAGACCTATAAATTTCCACTTTCTGTCTGTCCTTCTCTAATATCGAGAACGCTGTTAGATAGACGATAGTCGAATACAGATATAGAAGACTTAGAGACAGGAGGCTCCGATTAACTTTATAAGAACTTTCGGTATAACTCGGAAGTTACGCGATTTCGATTCAAAAATTTCCCTCCGAATGGGGTTACGTAGATGACTGGCACCACTCCGTTATTATCGGAGGCGCGATGTACGGGAGCGAGACACTACTAATTGAGGAGAGCGTGTATTTTAAATAAAATAAATTAAGAATGATTATAAATTGCCATCGTGTCGCAATAAATAATTGCTCGTACTTAGAAATTATTTTATGCCTCTCGGGATATTCCCGCGTACGCTACACGCGGCAATTTAGCATTGTACCGTACTCGGCACTCCCAACATGTAGTGTTTGAAAATTCTACGTGGCGGGTCGAGTCGTGATAAAACAACGTAATTCGAGTCTTTACACTGGTTAAATAGGAATGTTACGCGTATCTACTTAACTATTTAAAATTTGCAAAGAAATATCGAGTTGTTTATTCCGCATCCGATATCGGAATAAATCACAACTAAGTGTCGACGGTATTAACATAAATTATGTTAATTATATTTACTTGCGTCGCTTACATAAAATATTACAAGATAATTTAAATCGAGAATTTAAAATCCCGAAAGATACTTTCCTTTACTATAAAAACACCATCGTCGCCTTTTGGTTGCCAGATTCTGGGAGACTTCCGCCGATTCACTTAGATAAGCATCTTCGTCAAGAACGACGTATTCCTCATCCCCGATCTTAAAGCGATTGCCAGGCCACAATCCGCAAGATTCGAAGCCGCTCATTCTTGTTTCCATACAAACGGCTCGAGGATACGCTTTATTAAGGAACCAGGATGGTTTGCATCCACGATGCGCAAGCGGCACTAAAATTTAGTTTTAGTGATTCGAAAAATGACCTATCTAGTCTATTCTTTGATGCGTATTCAGTCCTTGTAACTGTCGTCTAAATGTCAATTTCGGTACATTATATACACTACAAACTTCGTTAAATTATAAGGTGCCGTCATTATATTTTTTAATCGCTTCTTTCATATTTTCTTTACTCCAAGAATTATACTTTCTTTTCGACACGTTGTTCTAAAATTAAAGACGATTAAGTTTTAATTTGTTTTGAACTTTTGCGGTTATTTTTCAAATCAGAAACTTAGTAAAAGAGAAAAATAAGTTTACGAATCGCTAATAGTTTATTGTGACATTCGTATAAAACGGTTTTCCTAAATCGTACCGGTACGTTTTAAGAACTTGCCTCGAGCGCGAAATAGGAGCGAGAGTCGAACAAACTTTACATTTGTCCCCCAAAAATTTCACGACAAATACGCATATATCATCACATCGGATGAAACCACAAAAATACGCATTAATACATCGCAGATAGTTAAAAAACTTACGCGCGATCCAATTTGAAGAAAGTTCTTACGAAATGCGCGAAAATATTACCGAAAAAGTTGTAAAAAACTTTCCTTTTCAATATTTTTGTGGGCAGCAGAGTAACAGCGTGTTGTCTGTCGGACGGTAATATGGCCGATTGTTATTTACTTTTTTTGCTACTAGAGACACTAATGGCCATTACCAGAGTGGAGATATAAGCGAAGTACGAATTAGGCACGTTTACCCTACGTAAAATGTTTGGAAAGTGTTTAGCTTCAGATTTTATAAATTATAAAAAAGCAAAAATATTTGACAGATTTTAAAACTTTGCATACGTAATGCGAAAGCCGGATCCTAAATTAAATTGTCTTAAGGTAGCTAATTTAGATTTAGGTTTATTTGTTTAATTAAGACAACCCGATACGTGGACCATTTTCCGAGGAGGGATGTTTCCCGGGAGGACTTTCGACGGGAAACCAGCCCCTACTTAGGTGTTGCAAATCCGGAAAATTCCACCCGGCTAGCCCGTTGGGCGGGTGTGAACCGCGATCTTTTCGATTGACGTTGGCTCGTGTAAAACAACGCGCGATCGCGAAGTCTCCTATAAAAATTTATGCACTTTATGGTACTGAAACTGTGGACAAAATAGTCACGAACCAGCGGTTAATCATAGAGAGGCTGTAGACGAGGATCGAGCTGATAAAATTGTCACTGGTAGTTTTCTTTTTGTCGGCCATTTTCTTCTTAAAATTTGTTCCGCGATGCAGAATTTTGACGGTCAGTTTCGCATTCTGTACCCCAAATACATTAGAAATAGTGGCGCGTTATGGCTTCGAGAGGCCCGGGCGGGTGTCAATTAGACGGCCCCGTGTATAGTGTTGGCTTCATATTTTTCTTCGGGGAATGTTTTGCGAGAAAATATTTTCTTATAAATGATTGGTTTGGAGCCTCCTGTTGCTGGGAGACCAGGTAGATGCTGTATTTTGTCTATAGAATATGGCAAAAACAAAAGAAAACCGTAAATTATAAATATGTCTTATTTATAATTTCAAGCCGAAGGCACGCGAATCAACTCTGTAACACTTCATTAGCTCTAACTCTAGAAACTCGTGGTTATTTCCTAGAAATCCACTCACCGCAGCTTTAAATGAATGAGCGATTAAACACTGTCGTATCGAACATAAATGGGACTAAACGAAAAAAAGAAGTGTGTCAATTAAACTAGAAATACCGTTGTTTTCGCTTTGGTTTCAGTTTGATAGCTTATCACGAGCTGGTACATTAATACGAAGCATTACTTACCCGACGTCCCTCCTACATAATTAGATATTATTATAATTAATTGTGATATGTGGTGCGCGTTGTCCACGCACTGCGTCTCTATCCGGAAAAGACAAGAGATCGGTGGCACAATACTCGAACAATTTGAATCTGACTTTCGGTCTCAAACTTAAACAAGATATTTGTGCCGTACAAGAATGATAACTTCTCGACTAAGCTTAATGACTTCTGCAATAGGGCAACCCGATAAAAACGGGGGAAACCCCTGATCCAACCCTTGCGGTTTTGAGAAAAGTAAAACTTTTCTCACCCTTTGCGACATAATGATAACTTTTGATTTTTATATTTCAGTATGTTTACGTGTGAGGTGCAAATACGTCGTTACTTCGAAGACGGAAACAATTTGTATTCCATTCGTTGCCCTTGCTTAAATTTCGAAACCATCGATTAATGGTAATGTCTACACGCAAGAATTTTGCACTCGCGTGGATTCTTACGATATTTAACATTAAATCGTTCTCGGGTTTAATCTGAAATGACAAATTCGCGTTGAGGGCCTTCTTCCCTAAAAAAACGCATTCGATTTCAATTAACGGAATGGCAGCGAACATCCAGTTTTATTCTCTTTATATCAGTCGGGATTGGTTTCCAAAAAATAAAAAACTCGGCGCGTGAACATTTAAAAGACCTCCCGAGAGGCATCCGTCGACAAATCGCCCGTCTCTCGCATTACCTTAATCGAATAAAAACCACACCGATGTGACGATTCGAAGAGATGATTGAAAGGAGTCCGAGGCTGGCTGAGAAAGCCCAAATTTTTATGTAAATTTGACTAAGGCTGTGTACACACTAGGCGTTTTGCGTTGCGTTAAACGCGCGTTAGCAGCGTACACACCGCGCGTTAGCTCGGCGTTAGACGACCGTTTAGTGGAGCATACGCGCTGGCTCAGTTTGGAAATGGAGGCAAAAGTAATTGCTTGTGTGCCCCTCCTCCATCGTCGCTATAGACGATGGCAGAGGCAAAGAGAGTTTTGGGTGCTCCCAATATTACGAGATAGACTGACGCGTGGAATGTTCGCGACGTTGTATCCAAAACTAAGACAAAATAAACCCAAGTTTTTTAATTCGTTTAAAATATCTATAAAATCCTTTGACAATGGTTGGTCTCTTTTAGATTTCATTAATAAATAGATCGGTATCGAAACGATCGTTCTCCATTTCGGCCAACGTACGTCCACTCCACTCGAAAACGCGCGATGGAATGTACAGTAACATGGCAGCGCATATATCTCAAAGCGCTCGGCTGACGCCCGCAAAACGCGCGATCGAATGTACAGTAACATGGCAGCACATATATCTCAAAGCGCTCGGCTGACGCCCGCAAAACGCGCGTTTTACGAAAGTCTATAAACGCGCGTTTAAAAACGCCTAGTGTGTACGCAGCCTAATTCTTTGAACGTCTCAATCTGAAAGTAAAGATATGACGTCTGATTGACATAATAATGAGAGTACAGTAGAGCATCGATTATCCGATCCCCGATTAACCGTCACATCGGTTAACCGACCGTTCTAGTCGGCAAATTTCAAATGTCCGCTAGTGATGTGGCGCTACAATATTTGGCTACGTCTTGGCTACTTGAATATTAATTTTGTTAAATTTTTGCGTGTTTTAGTTGGCATCAACGGCTCGACCATTGAAGGGAGGCCAGTATTTAAACGAGACTTAATTTTCTAATTATGATTGGTTGTTCGTTTTGTGAGCAATAAAATAATTTAAAAATAATTTTTAACGATACAATAGCGAGGATTATTATTTTTTTAAAGAATTTGTTAGGCTTAACATCTATGAAAATTCAACGCGAAGTTGGTTAATAGCGATATACTAATAAACTAATTACACGGGATATACTAATATCCTAATATACTATACCTGGGCTTCTTAAACTATGGGTCGTGACCCCATTTGGGGTCGCTTAGCGAAATCTTGGGGTCGCGCGATTTTAATGCAAAATATTGAAAATAATTTGTGAAAGTTTGAAAATGGCACGCTTTGTGTCACTTCTGGTGCAGCGAGACAACGATTCAGCAACACTGATTGTAGTGTGAACTAGTGTAGTATTGTCGCTTTTCAGTGTATTCAGTTGTCACTGCTCCATTGTAACACAAGAGTGAACTGTGGTAGTATACCATTATTATTTTTGCAAATTTGTATACTGTATATCTTTATTTTTTATTTCTTTTTGGGTCGCGAAAAAAAATCACAATCATAAATGGGGTCGTGAATAAAAAAAAGTTTAAGAAGCCCTGTACTATACTAATAATGGATTTTTTCATTCTTTTCGGTTATCCGATTTTTCAGTTATCCGACCAACCCGAGTCCCCAACTGAGTCGGATAATCGATGCTCTACTGTATTGTCTCAGCTTGTGACCGCATAACTACGCGCCAAATAGTGTCGCGGTGATTGCTGCCTCCTTAAAAGGGAGTTTTGATGAAAATGTGAAAACAAGTCGACTTTATTTTGATCCGCTTTACAACAAATACAGCGTGCTTTTCAGAAATTTCGGTCTCGCTATGAAATTTTTGTGGGGTGTTTGTAAAATTTGAGCGTGATCGATACACTCGCTGCCAGAGATAGCAGTTCGTGCTTGGCACCTCTGCAAACGAAGCTGGTGATGTTGGGGTGCTAAAGAAGGACGCTTAGCCAGTCACCGTGCAGGTACACATTTGCATCCGCTACTCGTTGCCAAAGGTATGAGAAGAAACGTTTCTGTAGCGAGGCTCCCACTTGTCTCTGTATGATGGATAAGATGCCGTTGCAGCTGTTCGTTCTTGTCTCACAATCAGTCGACTTTCGCTGTGAGAGATCGGGATCGAATCGGTCTGTTTGGATACATTGGATCCCATCCAGCACCGCCCGGCCGAAAATGGGCTCGCTAAAACGGTTCTTTTTAGCATCTATAGGGCGGAAAAGGTTAAAACAAGAACACTGGTTCTTTTTACAGGATATTGGGGTAACGATTGAGGGCTTATAAACAATGACGCATTATAACCACGAGTCCTAGGCAAATTTGAATTAGGGGTCTCCTGTACTTCAGACATCATTTTTCGAGGAAAATATTTACTTAAATGAGATTGATTTGGGATCCTCTTTTTGTCCACACGATAACACGCTGAGTTCGGTGAAGTCACATTCCGTCATCTTGCCACATAAAACCCATTAAGTTTTTTTTTTTTTTCAACTCTTTCCGTCCCGTGGGCACTAAGAGGGCTTTTTTTTTTTTTTAGCAAGCCCATTATGAGTTCGGCCAGACCCACCATGGAGCGGTCGGGTAGTGAAGGACGGACCACCCCCTGAAAAATCCCTAGAGATTTTTCGACCCGTCCGGATTCGATTCCGGGTCTCCAGAGCGGAAGGCTGCCACGCTGACTGATCGGCCATCCGGCCGTCAACTCATTTATATTTCAACGTATTGTCTGCCGGAGCGCACTCCAATATTTAATGGCCGGAGTGATGTTTCGCATTAACGTATAACTGGAAGAATGAGAAACTTCTATTGTATATTTTTGTTTTAATATAAGAAAAAAATACCAGTAGCAAAATGTAATTACTACAAATCCACACTAGGGGGCACCAATTTCGATATTAAATACTGCATGTTTTTTAATGTGAAAATCTCAATAAAAATGAGCTTCCTCTGAACTGTACGCGGATTACGTACTTATTTTATCTCGCACCTTAAGATTCCATTGCCGTGAGAAAGCGCGACGTTAGCCCTCTAGCGGTGAAGTTTTTTAGTCGTGGATTTCCCTTAAAAACGTATTTTATACGTACTCACGTGTTTGTTTCTCCCAGATTCTTTATATTAATTCAATTAAAATCAATCAATTAAGGAAGTCAATATATAAGTAAATATGATGAAAATACTCAAATTATATACGAAACTGATTCGGGAATTAAGAAATTTTTATCACGAGTGGGTTAAAATTCCTAATAACCTTTTATATAATAATCGAATTAGAATATTCATTTTATATTTAAAATAACGTAAATTCCAATGTAAGCAGTATTCTTAACTTGGTATTATATATCGATTAAATAATTATTCGTCGTAATTTCCCGTCACAATCGTTGAAAGACGTTAAAAATAGCTTTCTACATTCGTTTTACTTGAAAATTTCAAACGTAAATCACAAAAAATTAAACAAAAATACGAATCTCCTTATAATTCTGAAAATGCACACGCACCGCCATTTTGCTAAGTACAATTATGACCAAGAAACTTTCGTAAGAAGTAACGGAATAATTTATCCGATAAATTAAATATAATCAATTTATAAATTCGGTAAGGATTATAAAAATTCCCCGCATGTACGTATTTTGCCGTCTATTTTAAATAAACTATTTAAAATGGAAAAAAGTTTACATACGAAACTAATCTTTAGATTATTATTATTAATAGTGAAGTGAGAGGCGCAAAGCATGACGGGTAAGAGCCACCGCTCCGAAGAAGAATCGTCATATAAAAAGGAGAGAAACGTTTAAATGTCTTTGAGTTGTATCTGTTAGAAACGATAAAAGTATCCTTATGTAGCTTAAGGATCCTTCTAGATATTTATAGAATGATTGAAACGGTGTGCGCGAGTGCAAGAACGTAGATCGAAGCAAAGAAAGAATTGGTTCAACAGAACTTAGAGGAACTGAAAAGTGAGTCTTGTTAGAATCAACTTTATAACATTTATTAATTATATTTGTTTGTTTCTTTGTAGAGACACGTGGACAGCGTCGGAATTACGTCACACGATGATAATTTTATATTAAAAAAGGGTTCACCTGATGCTTGTTTCAAGTTTCCCCACTTTGAATCCACGACTAAAATTCTCTTGATGAGATGATAATGGCATAAAATTTCACAAAAATCTATCAATATTTTAACCATTACACTTGATTTTACTTATGTTATAACTTTAAACATGCATTATATATTATCATGTTGAGTGTGTGGAATTGTAAACACACGCTCACTTGTATTCAAACTTTGTTGCTCTTACTGAGGATTTTTTGTTATTTGTGTATTAGCATATAAAATTTTGATTTAAATGTTTAAAATTTAATGTAATAATCTAATTTCTTTCTTTTCTGTTTTTGTTTTTTAGCAATGAATGGTATGAGGCCTTTGCCTCCCGATATTCATGTGCCTGAGAAACGAAAAAGAAATTATAAATTGTTAATAGATCCTATATTAAAGAAAGGAACCGAGAAAATATATAGATACGATGGTGTCGTACCAGGGGTAATTAATGTTTACTTTTTTTTCTGCTTTGACATTAATTTATTTTGTTTGTATTCATAAAACTGAAATGTTTATGGATGTAAACAAGTTTTAAAACATAAACACAAAAGTAATAATAAATTTTGATCAAATATATTAATGATAAATGTATATTTTTTAGTTAACTTTATAATTAAAATGATTTAGCAAAAGTTCTCATTAAGGTAAGAGTGATTTTATATAATTATAAACAATCACTTTTATCTTTTATTCGTTTATGTTTTATTCTTATTAATAATGACAAAATTTTTAATTGACCAAAAAAAATATGATGCGTTACTAACTTTGTACAAAATCTCATTGAAATTTGATGATTTTAATAATAAAAAGTAAATAAATAATGGATAGAACTCAANATGTTATAAATACCTGAAAGATTGATTAAATTGGTTATAAATAAATGAAAAAGCAATGCTTACATAGATGAGTGGACTCCTTAATATTGTTTAGTATAATTTTTTTTATATTACTAAATATAAAATATTAATTTGCAATATTTAGTAATCACTTCAGATATATAGTAAACATTATATCAGTTAGGAATACAGAACTGCTAGATATTGAATCTCTTATATATTTGTTAACTATAATATTACTGTAAAGTGTATTTTTTATTTTGCTTCAATGATATATATCTTACATTTTGATATTTCAAAAGTTATATAAATGTCATTTATAGCAATTATTCATTTTAATTTTGACAATAATTAATAATTTAACTATAGTTTATGAGCATGTAATAATATATAATACTACCGAATTTTTCACATATTTATTTTTGTTTTTGTCTTTAAATCACATTATTAGAAGACAATTTCAATTATAATTTTGTTCCATATTTTAAATTACTCTAAAATTTATTATTTTTAAGGTATATTTATAACATACTGTATCAAAAAACATCCCTATTTCAGTTATTTTGAAACTAAAACTTCATTTAATAATGGGTAATACAAATAAATATTAAACTTTATAACTGTTATAATTTTTAATATATAAATTTAAAAAATATTTGACTGTTATGTTTGATAAATGCTTATATACAATAAAATTTAATGCATTTGAAGTTTTTTTTAATATGCTTGAAGATGAAAGTTCAGAAACAATTTATTTTTATTTATATAGAAAATTAAATTTTATATCAAATATTAAAGTTTTTTAATTGTTTAGTTTCAATGCAAAAAAAAATATATTAGAAGATAACTAATTTTTAATTTTAAATGTATTTTTGTGTATTATTCAATAAAAATGGCATCAACAAAGCTGGAACAATATTCAAATTAGTACCTTTTGCTTCTTTTAATTTCTAGCATGCAGTTTATTAGTTCAGAGAAACATTTTCAGCTGCTGAAGTGGTCCTCATCACTTATTAATAGCTTATTTAGAAGAATTTGTTGCATTCCAAGACATTTAAAAGCTTTTAAATATTTATCTTTATTTATTACACAATAAAATTGCTATAAATATTTGCAATTGAATATTAATTTCAAATTAAAAATTTCGTTTATATAATTTTTGTTTCATAATAATTATTATTTAATAATTTACTGTGTTTATTTGAACAGAATAATATAAAATCAAATATTTTAAACAGTAAAAATAACTACAAAATAAAGATTAAGAAATTTTATAAGATCTCAGTTTGCCTTCTAATAGTTTACATTCAAAAACATATTTTCTGAAGCAAGCTACAAAAACATTGTTAGATTTGTAATAATCATCAATAATTTCTAGTTAGAAGTTTAATGTATCGTGATTACGTATGACCTGATTTTCTCATTTTGCTTGTTAATTTTTCACATAAGAATGCAAAATACTAAGTTTATACAATTCTATACTCAGAATTAATAAAAGTAATTGTTTTTTACCGTTGATTACTATTAAAAAGTACATTATTTTCATTTTGAACTAATTATTTTTTTATGAAGGATTGTCATTGCACTTTTAAAGCATGACAGTTCACTAAATAATGTCTTAAGGTTAATTTAGCTAAAGGAAATTAATGTTAAACTTTTGTTAATACAGTAGAGCGTCATTTATCCAAATCGATTGGGGTTGTTCTGATAACTTATTTTTCGGATAACCAATTATGTATGAAAAAATATATTAGCCTATCCCATGTTGAAATTTTTCTCCTTTGCATGTCGCTTCGCGTTGAATTTTCGTCGATGTTAAGACTAACATAAATTTTTTAAAATAATAATCGTAACTATCATATCATTAAAAATTATTTCTTTATTTTGTACAAACAAAATTAATATATTGAAAAATATAAAAACAAAAAAATTATATTTTGGAAGTTAATCTATTATCAAAAATGCTTGATTCAGCACGACACAGTCCGACCGGAACGCTTTCGGTTAACAGACATTTCGGTTGATTGGCTTTCGGATAAACGACGCTCTACTGTATAGAGAAAAACTGTAATGTAAGGTTCATGCTTTTAATTCTCTCATTAAGTGAATGATAGCTTTCCTGCATTGTTTTTCATTAGAATTTTGGAATGTTATTGTGTTCATGCCAAATACATAAGTTTTGTTATATCATTACTTATTAATATATTTATAAATAGCATTTTGGCTTATATAATCTTATTTACGTATTTTTTAAATTAAAAATGACAGAATTCTTTGAATTTTTATTTAAGCCAAAATAACCCTGTAAGAAAGTATGATTTAGATTTGTTTTTTGGTTAAATAACCTAGTCATAATACGGTGTTATGATCAGGCATTTTGAAAAATAAAAGTTTCAATACAGTAATAGACAAATACAATAAATATTTGAACAGCTGAGAATTTTTTTAAAAAACTACAAAAATTTAATTTATTTAGATGGTTAATTTTTTACTTTTCTTAAAACTTTTTAATGTTATAAATACCTGAAAGATTGATTAAATTGGTTATAAATAAATGAAAAAGCAATGCTTACATAGATGAGTGGACTCCTTAATATTGTTTAGTGTATTTGTTTCCCTGAAAAAGCAATAAAAATGTCACTACAATTTTATTAGTTTTGATACATTAATAGTTCATTAATGCATAATTCTGTTATTAAAACCAGTCATACACATGTAATTTTATTGTTATTTAATTTAAAGTAATTTTTTTTTTTTAAATAGAAAAATCGTCTTTTTTATATTTTATCTGTGGCGTATTTAATTATTTTGTATTTAATAATTTTTATCCTGTTGATTGTAGAACCTTCACATATGATATGCTATAGCATTAACATAACAAATGCATGTATTTAAAAAAAACTCTAAAGAGATTTAAATGTAAATCTGCTCTCCATTTTATCTGGCAAAAAAAAAATTGTATAAAAAGATTAGTTCTGATTTTATCGAGTGATACGAAAGACCATAATTTGTGCCTACTTTTTTGTTATGTCAATAATGAATATTCTCTATAAAACTCTCTTAATATATAATACTCTTAATGTCTGTCATTCAATGGAAAAATAACATGCAGAGAAATGTTAGTTTTATTTTAAAATACAACTTTATTGTTTATATGTTTAAACAGTTTATCAGTGACAAAGAATTAATTAGGCTAAATAAAATTAAAATTTTTAAAATTCCAAAGTTTATAGCAGCGTTTCTCAAAGTGGGCGATAACGCCCCCTTGCGGGCGTTGGAGGCTTTCAGACAAATTCTATATATAAAAATTCGACGGAATATATATAAAATGTTGACATTTTATATATTTTTTATTGAAGGTCACAACTTGAATATTTCTAACACATTGACTTTTATTTTAGCTCAGCATTTCTCAAAGTAAGCAATAACGCCCCCTTCTGGCGCGATGAATAGATCTATGATAGAGGCAGGGTATTGAACGGTGACCAAAGGCAAAATTGGGGCTGATAAGAGGAAACATTGCGTTTGATGATGAGAACAATGTACAGTAAGGACACAAAGTGTGAGATTCATAGAAAAGTTTTCCTAAGAATATTTCCAATCCTTTCTCACACAAGAGAAAATGGGTTAGGGGGTGTTGGGTATAACTTTATGGAACAAAGGGGGCAGTGGATCGAAAAAGTTTGAGAATCACTAGTTTATAGTAATGTTTGGATTGCTTCAAAATATAACATCAAATCTAGCATTACTGAATGTCAGATCATATTTTGAAGTTTGGTTTTCAATAAAATGATAATCAATAGTGTGTTAAAATATTAAAAAAAAAAAATCCAGAGAGTTCTGTAAAATGTTTTTAAACTGTATCTCTAACAAAATTTATACTGTATATAATATGATAGACATATTTGAAACCCTTTCACCAAAAATTAAAGATATACTGAAATTTTAAATGGCATAAATTAATTAAACTTGTCTTAATATATTTGAAAAATAAATACACAGTAAAACCTGTTCAAAATGGAACCTGAATAAAGCAGAAACCTGTCTAAATGGGAAAAATTCTTTGGAACAGAGTGATTTTCTATGTTAAAAAAAGAGCTGTTCAAAATGGAAACCTGCCAAACCATAAAAAATGTTTGCTATAATGCAATTCAGCTTATGCAGAGTTTAATTTAATAATAATATTTTGATAATTTTTCTAATTTCATTTTAAAATTTCTTAAGAACATGCAAATTAGCTTTTGTTTATGTCATTTAATTTCAAGGTTATCAGTTTGTAGAGAACCTATAGTCCATTATTGAATTCCTTTAAAAGTATGTCAGATATAAGTTTTTAAAACTGATGATTTTGATTAAAAATTAAAGAAAAAAAGTGTATTAATAAGTATTGAAAAAAAACCATGGCATTTTAGTGTGCTCTGAGTGGAAAAAGACCTAAAATCTCAAAATACTATTGAAAATGTATGAAACTTTTTTATAACTATTAACAGTTTAGAAAATTGATCAATAATCAAACATATAAAATTTAATAAAATTGTTAAGCAAATAAGTAGAATCTGTTTATCTCTTCTGTTCTCTCTTATTAGGGAAGAAGCATCAAGTTCA